AACTTAGTACAAGTAATAAGTATAAATAGTAAAAGACAATAATACTTAGTGTAGTACCATAACTAATACTAGTTAGTTACCTATATAATAGTGTGTGTGTGTGTATATATATATACACACACACACATACATACATATATACACACACACACCCAGATGTAGTGGATGCAGTTAATTATTATTATTTTGTATAGTTAATTTAACAGAATTTAGGGGAAAGCTTGATAAATATTTTAATGATATTGATAAGGACTAGCCTTGTTTATTCTCATTTTAAAGTTCAGTTTAATGGGTGAGATTGTCTAGATAAACCAACATCAATTTCATGCAATGCAAAATGTAATATTACTAAATAACCTAAAAGTAAAACACTACACCTTTACAAATTACAGTAGCACCAGCACAGTAGCAGCCTGTAACATGCAAGTTGTGACTTACAAGTTAAACTTTAATTTAAACACTATGCCTTTAGAGTAGCACTAGCAGCCTGTAAAGGAGTAGTGTTTTACTTTTAGGTTATTTATTATCATTGAATTTTGCATTTCATCTAATTTAATTTTAAGTGAGTTTATCTAGGCAATCTCACCCACTAAACTCAACTTAAAAATGAAAATAAAACAAAGCTAGTCCTTATCAATATCATTCGAATACTGTATTTAGCAAACCTTCTCCTAAACTCCTTTAAATTAAAGATAAAATTATAATAATGATTAACTGCAACAACTACGTGTGTATATATATATTAGTTTAAACTGATGATATAACGTGTATGTTTGTTGTACGTGTATATATATATATATAATTTAAAGTCTAAAAGTAAAAAATCTAAGTTCATTTACTTACAGCTTAATTTCCACTCGGGAATAGTTAATGCCAAAATCTGACTTTACAAATCCACCACATCCAAGAACATCTTCTTCAAATGTAAAACTGAATAATGAAAATAAAATTATAAGATGGTTCAAGCGTAGTTTTAAAAAACCTAACAGTACAGATATTTTCATGATTGTATTTCTACCACTGTACCAGGAAATTAAGCCTAACCCACGAGAAAGTGGACTAGCACTAGCTCCTCACATGTACATACGGGTCTTTCGTTTTAACTCGTATTTCAATTACAAAAAACAATTGGGTTTAAACAATAAGAAAGTGTCCGATATTTCGAACGATTTTTTATCGTAATTACATTTATAAATATATATATATATTCAATATCAGAAATCAATACTTTTAAGTCATTGTATTACATCTCAGTAACTGTTAAACTTTTAGCTTGTGTAAAGAAAATAGATAAAAAATATTAAAACGAAGAACCAACTGTTAAACAGCGATTTAAACTTTGTAACCATATTTATTTTTATACAATCAACGTAGTTGTATTGATTTCATTGAAAGCTTTTTTAACATATAACTTTCTTTCGCTGATAAAAGAAATGATACTTCATTTAGATATTATTTCACTAATTATATATATATATGTCATAGTCTGACTCATTACGAGAATAATAACTAACAGTTAATACCTGTCTATCTATAAATATTTTATGGCAAACCTAAAATATATTATATTTGATGTTATTATTAGAATATATTCCGGCTCATAAATTTTCCGCAACGAAAGATTATAAAATCCCTTAAGCAGATTCGACGAATATGATATTACGAGGCATGTGTCCATTTACTTTCTGGATTCCGGCTGAACTCTTCAACAAAGCAAGAGTTATTACAAAAATACAACAACAGTCTTTATTTAGACAAACACAATAATACAGTTGAACACACTGGTACAAAACAATGTTATAACGAATGTCTCTGAAGTTGTATAGAACCAGTGAGAGATGGGTAAACAAGTAAATAAATGAAACAGTTTATTTTTTCCACAGCGTAATTATTAAGTTGCCAGACTAGGTGAATTCTAAATAGCATGTGTTCAAACTGCTTACTGGGATTGGAGAGACACGTAAAAGAACAGTGATATTTATATTACACAACACTTTCAAATTAGACTATTGATCAAAGTACGCTATACCATAATCCCAAGTAGCATACATTACCATATCTTCCAAATAACACATATAGGAAACAAAGAAAAACAACTAATACCAATTTTTACAAGTATCTGTGTCATTCCTCACCACTACACCCACCATTTAGGAATCACAGACACAGAGCCAAAGTATTAAAAGCTATTGCTGTATGCAACTTTTCCTAAGTAAGATCACCATATGTTTGTTTATGACCTTTAAAGATTTGATCAATCAACCAAAACGATATAAATACATGCCCAACATTTGGAAAAGAAATTTAGAAAATTCTCCTGAACTTACTTGATTAAAAATGTAATCTAAACTGTTTGAAGAATGGTGAAATTAGTAGTAATTTTAATTACATCAATCCCCTCCCCTCCTTATCTGAAGGTCATCCAGACTCAAACATTACGGGCTGAAATGTAAAGTACAGGTCGTAATGTACTTTAATCATTTCCGTCACCCCCCCCCCCCAGTAGCACAGCATGTCTGCAGACTTATACTGCTATAAACCGGGTTTCGATGCCCGTGGTGAGCAAAGCACAGATAGCCCTTTGTGTAACTTTGTGCTTTATTACAAATATTGTTTGTTTGTTTTGAATTTCGCGCAAAGATACACGAGAGCTATCTTCGCTAGCCGTCTCTAATTTAGCAGTGTAAGACTAGGGGGAAAGCAGCTAGTCATCACCACCCACCGCCAACTGTTGGGCTACTCTTTTTACCAACGAATAGTGGGATGGGCCGTAACATTATAACACCCCCATGGCTGAAAGGGCGAGCATGTTTGGTGGGACTGTGAGTCGAACCCGCGAGTCGAGTGCCCTAACTACCTGGCCGATTTATAACAAAGAACATCAACAACAACAACATTTTCTTCAGGTGACAAATAAAATATCATGACACCTACACAAAGATAGCAAACTAGGTTAACACATAACAATAAGAAAGCATTAATTAAAGCGAAAAAATTAAACTGAAATATAAAATTGAAATAGCATAAAAGTAAAACAAAATGAGAATACACTAAATTGAAAAACATGATCCAAAATAAAAAATCAACAAAATTTAATTTAGTAAGAACGAATCAACTTGACAGTTTTCTTGGCCACATGTTATGCCGTTTACATTGTTTCGTATGAACAATGCAAGCCCAGCTACTTTAGTCAAATCCTTGACTGGGCCAGAAATTGGCAATAGTCACCAGTAAGTGACTTCACTCATTTTCATACACGTGGTTTCTTCTACTATTGTTTAGTTGTCACGAAAACAGAACCTGGGTCTAATACGAAGGGGAGGGGGGAGGTAAACTTCAAGAAGGCACCTTTACACTCTCTAAACTTGAATGCTTCATAATCTGCTTGTTCACAGTTCCGACCTGCATCTGATAAAAGTTAAACATAATTTGAATAAATAAGTCAAATCATGTCTGCCTTCACAAACAAAACCAGAATTATTCATGTAGTCAATACAAAAAAATCATATACTAACACTATAACTCAATATAGTTAACACAAAGGTTATCAATGGTGACAGTGTTAATAAGAAATAAACGCCCAGATGAAACATTTAGTAGGCCCCAGTATTTGCCGAGGTTTGGAGAAGATTCAATCATATAAGTCAATTGCATTTCTAATTTGAAAATATTCGAAAACAGTGGGCACACTGAATTTTTCTTCACTTTGAATGAGCTACTTGTAAGTATTAAAGAATAAGTGACATTACCTAGGAAATTTTCAGTTATCTAAAGTTCAAGATATTTCCTTACTCTGACAAGCATACCAGGTATGGTGTTGATTCTATAGAAACTCTGCCTATTTTCTCTTATTGAAAAATCATACACTTACGAATATTCAATTTTGTGACCAAGCATTAGTTTCATTTAAATCTTGAAGCAGTCCAAATGACCACTATGATTCCCACTAAATGTACCATACCTCGCTAATGCACGCCAAAATAATTTATTAATCTGAATATTGGGCTCTTGTAAATATCGTGCTTGTGAACATGGTTCAATGTACACCTACTGGCTCATATTGTGTAAAAAGTCTGCTTATACACAGTTATATTGATGTTAAGTTGTTCAACGAATATTAAATCAATAACTAGTGTTTACGTGTTCCATAAGTAAGTTATATTTTATTCTTTACTTAATGTTACCTTCATTAATACTACTGATTAGAGTGCTTAATATATACACATATATAGTTTCATTGTTTCTAGTTTATATTATTGTACTTGTATTATAGAAATAATTTTGCATCACTAGTTTAGTATATGGATTTAGGACTAGCCTAAACTCCGAAGCCGGCCGAAAATATCGTTAACAGTGAGGGTACCCATCTGGTGGAACGATTCACTACAGCCTTTATAAGTAAGAACGTAAAAGCTATAATCATTACTGGCTTGAATTTTGACCTAAGCATAGAACTTGGTCTGATTGGAAGTTAATACTAATGCCACGCCCGGCATGGGCAGGTGGTTAAGGCGCTTGACTCGTAATCTGAGGGTCGCGGGTTCGAATCCCCTTCACGCCAAACATGCTCGCCCTTTCAGCCGTGGGGGCGTTATAATGTGACGGTCAATCTCACTATTCGTTGGTAAAAGAGTAGCCCAAGAGTTGGCGGTGGGTGGTGATGACTAGCTGCCTTCCCTCTAGTCTTACACTGCTAAATTAGGGACGGTTAGCGCAGATAGCCCTCGTGTAGCTTTGCGCGAAATTCAAAACAAACTAATGCCACGAAAATAGTCCCCTGGTGAGTCAGCGGAAAGTTTACAGACTTACAAAATTTAAATCCGGGGTTCGGTTCTCCGCGGTGAACAAAGCGGATAGACCAATGTGGCTTTGCTGTAAAACAACCAATAACATCACTAAAGTAAGAGTAATCATGGACAGAGTGGCCTATTTGGCTATGTGCATCCACCCAGATCGCATGTCATGTAATTCACTGCAAAATACACAAATATATACACATAGCCCACCACAGCAGATGTTCAAGTGACAATAGTAAAACTACTCTCCCTATCATAACAGGCCCGGCATGGCCAAGTGGTTAGGGCGCTCGACTCGCAATCTGTGAGTCGCGGGTTCGAATCCCCGTCCCACCAAACATGCTCGCCCTTTCAGCCGTGGGGGCGTTATAATGTGACGTTATAATTCGTTTGTAAAAGAGTCGTCCAAGAGTTGGCAGTGGGTGGTGATGACTAGTTACCTTTCCTCTAGTCTTTCACTGCCAAATTAGGAACGGCTAGTGCAGACAGCCCTCGTGTAGCTTTGCGCGAAATTCAAAAACAAGCAAACAAACCCTATCATAACAGCAATCAACCAAATCACCATGTTAGTCTCACTCGTACTGCCATCTAGGGGTCTGTAAAACCTTTACATCAGACTAATATGAAAAATAATTAAGATAAAAACCTAGAAAAATGATACACATTTTACCTAATTTACATAACCAATGCTAATTTCTCACGCTGTATTAGAGCAAATCTCCCTTACAACACTTCAGTAAGGCAGGTATATGCCAACCAGACTGTTGCATAGTGACATAGCACAAACTCATCTAGATAAATTCGAGCAATTATTGCAACATATCAAACCACTCTCTCTCCCTACCAAATATTGGTCACTAGCTCAGAAAGAAAGGATAGCAACGTTCATTCATTTGTTGATATTTTAACCAAACAACTGTCCTTTCTGTACAAAGATCAATTGACTACTATTACGTGATATACTGCATATAAATCCTATCATGAAATACCACTTGACAACTCGGAAAACAAGAAATGCCACTTTCTTTCAGTCATTAGCATGTCAATAAACTGGCCATTTTAACTACTAGTCAAGCAGTTAATATTGGCCATAACACTTAGGATGACAGTATCGGCATATTGGCCAATCATCAGAGCAGACTTACTGCTCCCTCACTAACTTCCTCATGAATATTCATGAACAGCCACATATATCCTACTAGTGTCTTCCTCCTCATCAGCTGAGATGAGATCATATGACACAGTACTTGCATCATCAAAGTTAACCTGCTTATGCA